GCTGGCCGTAAACAAGGTCTTAAAATGATCTATTTTTCATATAATTTTGAATATTCATTGGTTAAATTATTCTATAGCTATTAAGAAGAAATCAGAAAGCCAATTTCCGCTAGTTTCAATTAAGCTCCTTCCGATATATTTTCAAATTTCTTAGGCATGTTGTGCAAAAGGATTAAATTCCACAAATGGCGTAATGCGACATCGACAACATCCATTAAACCACAGAATTAGATAAGAAATGATTGATATCTAAGTCCGTGATTAAATACATCACCCTATCAAGTCATTAAGTTTTTAAGAAATGTTGCTCCTTTATTCTTGAAAATTGGTCACGGTCACCATTTTGGACAAACTTGATAGGCCCTTATGTTAAGGTTGATGATGGCCTGATATCACCATCCTAGGTCTCTTGGCTATCTAGAGGAAATTGTTTAGGTTTAAAAAAAAAATATGACCTCCGTGACCTTGAAAGAGAGTCGAGGTTGTTTATATTGGGAAAACAACTTGACAGTCCTCCAACCAGGTTGGTACCGGCCAAAAATAATCACTCTATGCCTATTCCGTCTTTTCGTATTGCAGAGTTATCTTCTCTTGCGAGCAGGTATTGATTGTTTCGTCATTGGTGTGTGAGAGTAACGTCGTCAATTTTTGAGAAAACGACGTAATTTTCTCACAAAAACCAATGACGTAACAATCAATACCTGCTCACAAGAGAAGATAACTCTGAAACACGCAATTGGTGATTCAGAAAAACAGTGTAACGTAAAATATTGATGCTGAACAATTGAAACTAAACCACAGCGCACGCTCACATGGCACATTGGGACTCGTGAGCTGAAATTGATAAAATGTGGTTCATATCTCATTTGATCTGTGACCTTGAAATCCAACACCGAGCAGAATTAGAACAAATGACCTGTAGTAATCTGTAAGTCTTAAAACACCGACTTTAATATTGTAGTAATGTTTGCAACATTACAATCAGACATTTCGGACTAGACATTCTAGGCTACAGGTTTTAATAATAAAAATTTGAGGTGCTTATATACCGCTTTATCACAATCTAGCTAGTTCGTAGGTCGTCTCAAAGCGGTTCACAAATCAACTTGGATGCAAGCCCTATAAAAAACACACGCTGTCCATTAGAGAATAATATAGACATATGTAACACATGCGCTTTACTGTATTTCAGATTGTCCTATAATTTATGACTTACAAATACAGTGATCATAATAGATTAGTTCTTATCTATGATGTGATGGGACTATCAGATCATGGCTACAAGCAGCAGAATTACGCTGAACTCCTCCAAAATGGTGCTCTGCCTTGTTGTCGAGCGTGACGTCATTGACAACCTACGAATTCCTGCACTTTTATAATCCCCATTAATGGTATAGCCCAACTCCCGTCTGACAGAACTTCAATACAGTAGTGGCTAGTACATGGATAACTGAAGTTCTGATAGCTTTTCCTGGTTGAACTTTTTTAATCTGCTGGCAACTGTTTGGGAAAATAGCGGTATGAATGTATTTGATTGACTATCCTCGATTATCTAGAATGAAAATAAAACAAACGACATATATATATTTTAAGATGATGAATTTATTTAATCTGTATACAATGGGATTTGAATCATCAAATACCTGAGAACAAAAAAACATCTCTATCTATTATTCTTGAGCCAGGTGACAAATCTATGTCAATTATCACATACAAATTAAATTAAACATTATATAATAATACATGTCTAGATGTAGGGAAAATAACGGACTCCGTCACAAGGGAGATAACTATGATGGCAGCCAATAAATCAAGAAATTAACATTTCAGAGTTAAGCCCATGCTTGGTGATAAGCCCACACTCACATTCCGATAGCAACTTGTGCTGTGAAATGAGATATTTTCGCTAGGCCCAAATTTCATGGTTAGCGCAATAATCACTATTTCGTGGGTACATGAATTTGTGGATTATGAGTATACTGATCCATGCCGAGAAATGCTTTTTATCAAACTTGCTTTGTGGACCTATGAATTTGTGGATGAAAATTACCCACGAAATCAACCAAGCTAAAAAAAAATCCACGAAAATAAGTGATTCCATGGTATTGATTTTATATTATCCACGGAAATCAAAAAGAGACCTTTCTGCATACAATAACAAATTAATCTATAATCCCAGCGGGCAGTATACCATTGCTATGGAGCAGGGGTAGGACATCTAGGATTGTTCGTATGAAATATAAGTTGTAAAAAGGTTATGTATCACAACCATTAAGAATTTATGTGTGATGTTTCCATGACTTATGTCTGGTACAGATGACAGGGTACCCAGTACCGTACTAGTTGTTAAAACGTCACACATAAAACACTTACTGTTTGTGATGCACAACCTTTCTACAATCATACTTTTCAATCCCAAGAAAATGTTTAGACATATGAAATATAATTTACTCAGAGCAAGATCTAGACATGAGACAGTTTTACATGGTCCATCTTTACAGAATCGGTACAAATCACAGGTATATGAATCAACCAGTTTTTCCACTTTAAATGTCTTGGACAAGTAAGGACAGTGTACTTCAGTTCATAATGTGGTATTGCAGTAAATAGCCTTGCTCAAGTCTGTTATCTTTCAAGTGGAAAAAATCAATTAATTCAAGCACCTGTGATACAAAAACAAAAAAAAAACATGGTAAAATAAAACAATACACCAAGCACAGTGAGTTTATACACTTTATACAAATACCTGTCCAACAATAGACCGTATAGCAGGATATTTTCACAAGTATGACATTTTTCGCAATTTTGCTGGTCAATAACCTGATCACGAAAATGTGATCTGAAGAATGATATGACAAGCTAAAAATGAGCCGCAATGATAATAAACATCATAACGGTGAAACTATCAGAAAAAAGCGAATTTGTGGTTGTAACGATTTATATACATCAAAAGAAAAACAAGAATTTTAAAAATAGATTGTACATGTATCACACATCAAATAGTTCTATTGTAATAAAAGCCCATTCATTTGACTATTAGACACTTTATATGAGGAGTGTTCCACCTCTGTGCTAAAACACCGCAAAAACTGTGTACCTTCACGTGTCTAGATCGTGCAATTATATAATCTGTGTAAATTGATGTTCTAATTTTGCGTCAAAACCGCCAAAAATTAAAGTCGCATAAATAACCCGCTATACAGTGCATGGTTTTACCACGGAATTAGATTGAAGTCCGTGACTTTACCACGTAGTTGTCACACCATTAGTAACGTGACTCACTACAATCAAGTTCTTCTATTCAACTTATAATTAACAATGATGACCACATATACACGTACATCCCCACCAAAACATTGTATATTAGATACCGTACACCAAGAAATTTTGAATAAATTTTAAATTCTCGCCCAGTGTTAACTTGGCCCTTTACATTTGATAACTATGAACATTATGTTGTTAATTTTTATCGCTGTAATGGTTATTTCGCCCTCATTATGGTTGGTTAAAAAGGCGTAAAATAAACTGCAGTGACAATTTCCCAGTATACATTATATCCGGATCAAATATTTACTAAATCGCTGGAAGCTTCACTCTACCCTACACCTATAACTATATCACACAGTCAAACCTTGTTATACTTCCAACGTTTGTCCAGTGAATTTTTGGCATTAGAAAACAGTTTTTGCAATATATTTAGGGAGATTTAAAGAAATCGCTAAGTAAAAAGGGACTAGGAGATATGTTGGCGATGAGCCAGGTAAAAAAATAAAAACATTACAGTGGGTTTAACTGCTCCTCTAACGCACTAAAATATCACTGAATGTTTTCAAGTTCTAGTGCACATGCTACTTTAAATTCATCCACACATTTCTTTGGTGTAATTTTTCTAAAAGGAAGACATATTTTTATAATTTAATCTAAATACCACCCACTTTAATCCCAATAGCATTTTTTTTTAAACCGTTATGGTGTTGTTTTTTTTATATCAAATGAACTTCTTTTAGTACATGTTCTTGTGTCTTCAGCATTTACTGTTATCAATAAAATGGAATTAATCTTAGATATTGTTTTCTTTTGTTTAAAATAAAATTGAAACTTTGAGGCAATTTTTGTTACAAATAATGCGATATGAACATTTAAAAAAAATAAGAACATTTTTAGCAACTTATGGCAAAATATTTAAAGAGGGTAACTATAGGTATATTACCACCTACCAGGTATATATATTTTTTATTAGTTTTGGGCATGTTTTGTAAGGAAAGCAATGTACTGACCTCAAATCATATAAAAAACAGTGAAGTAAATAATATAGAAAATAATAAATAATAAATTAGTTTCTAAATTGGCTTCATTGTACTGATCAGAATGTGAGGGAAATTTGTGTGAAAAAAAAGCCCCGTTAGTTTTAGCTAACTGACCTACAGGCTACAACACCTCCTTAAATGATCATGGCTGTTGATAGGACGTTTACAAACCAACCAACTAATGACCTATGTATATAAGTGTGACTTCTCTCCTCAATAATATCAGATTCTATTTAAGTATTAACTTGAATATATTTTTCATGTTATGGAGATATACCGGTAACACAAAAAAATGGAGTGTTCCATATTACACTCTGGTTTTTTGTGTTATAGCTCCATAACATAAAATATATATTCAAGTCAATTCTTATAATTTAATCTACTATACACAATCCCTGTGTAAATCCACTTTTATTGATGGACTTTTTATCTCCTAAAAATTATCACGCCGCTGTATCAGCCAATCAAAAGTGACATTACAAGCAGAGACGTCACTTTTTTACGTTATGGACTGATAACATAATTTTTTAAGCCAATGAAAATGCTTGTTACAAGTAAGATTAAATTATATGAAATTATTAAATATATTGTAAGCATCATTCCCATACATATTTCATGTCTGTTGTAAATCTTGGCGTGGCAAATGGCAATAGCTCGACATGAATGCTATATTTATGTTCAGTCACAGAGAAAAAGAGAATGGATCACTTATGGAGGTTAGAGATTTTTTATGTATGAAATATTAAATTTTATCACAAATTCAACTCATGAAAGTGGCAAAGAAAAAGACTATTTATGTAGAACACACATGTTATATTAACTCATTCTGACAGGCTGTGCTAGCCGTGGGGTCTACAACGTTTGCCAGCATTTGAACCAGAGCATGCTGGTAGACACAGGGATAAATGTTTACGACATCGGTAGCAACTTGTGTCAGATCTTTTTTCAATTATTAATTTAATAATAAATGTATCTATATCGATGTATATGTTCACAAGAGATATAAAATGCAATAAAGTGAGAGAGAAGCTTTCAAAAAGCTACCACTATAGTTTAAATAAACACAAAAACAAACAGCCATCATTTGATTCTGGCTGTATGTGATTTGTAAAGAAATTATCCCGGTTTAAAGTTTGATCTGTAGTTTTTGATACACAATAGACAGGAAAGTCCAGAGTTATCCGGCTCGGTGTTGATGCTCTGAATGACACCGTTCTCCACCACCATCGAATATCTGTAGGGCAAAAAAACACACATAAGACAGTGTCAAATTACACAAGCATCCTAGAATTAATTTAAGGTAGTATGCTACATGTACCTTACATCATCATTGCTAGACCTGTGATAAGGCGTTTGAGTTATCTCCCTTATATTTCTGATTTATGATAACACACAATAATTCAGAACTTCTGTAGTGCTATCATTGTATTACAAATGTTCATCACCTCAGGGTGCCTGTCCCACTGCAGTCAAAACACTTCAAAATAGATTATTTTTTTGTACATAGAGTTACTTCCCCTTACTTTTATTTTGATTCATGATGTTAATAAATAATAATTTGAGGTTCTTATATGCCGCTTTATCACAACCTAGTTGGTAGGTCATCTGAAAGCTGTTCACATTTTTTTATCCGCGGTTATAGGGCCTTTGCAACCAGCCAATATCTTTCTCAACTCCTTGGGGAGCATATACAGCCGGTGCTGCCATATTTCGGCGCTCACAGCTAGCATTCAACAAGTCTAGCACTGCCCAACCACGTACTCATTTACAGCTTATATATATATTTAGTAGACTGGAACAAGCGGAGTACAGTATCTTGCTCAAAGATACAACACAGTGCCGTGCCGTGTCTCCGAAACTTATAACTTTAGCATGACTGGGCCTGGCTACTAAGTGCTCAGTTTGTTACAGAGACGGTATAATGATCAGTGGTCCAGACCTATTGCATTTTTACACTCCATACATTTTATTGAATTTTTTAATTTCTGCAGTGGTACAGGGATCATTAAATAGGAACATGGACAATTTACAATCTTGATTTAAATTAGGTTCCTTATTATGAAACTCTTTTAGCAAAGAAGAAAACATTTCAGTAGGGTAGCATACAGCCTTAAGTTATTAGGTTATACTTGAGCTATACATATACCACTTAAATATTCCATATCCATCATCTGATTGGTTTAATGTTGATGGATGACATAGTTTGAAGATTGCACAAAGCAAAAACCTGGTTCAAGTAATTTCTTCTTATCTTCTTCACACTTGAAAAGGAATGCAAATGAAGTGCTGAATGAAGGTTTTTTTAGACCTGAAAAGCAACCATCGGCAAGGCTTTAGCAAAGAATTGAGCTGTTCAACCCTCGGCAAGGCTTTAACAAAGAATTGAGCTGTTCAACCCTCGGCAAGGCTTTAACAAAGAATTGAGCTGTACATGTTCAACCCTCGGCAAGGCTTAAACAAAGAATTGAGCTGTACATGTTCAACCCTCGGCAAGGCTTTAACAAAGAATTGAGCTGTTCAACCATCGGCAAGGCTTTAACAAAGAATGGAGCTGTTCAACCCTCGACAAGGCTTTAACAAAGAATTGAGCTGTACATGTTCAACCCTCGGCAAGGCTTAAACAAAGAATTGAGCAGTTCAACCCTCGACAAGGCTGTAACAAAGAATTGAGCAGTTCAACCCTCGACAAGGCTTTAACAAAGAATTGAGCTGTTCAACCCTTGGCAAGGTTTTTACAAAGAATTGAGCTGTTCAACCCTCGACAAGGCTTTAACAAAGAATTGAGCTGTTTATAAAGTATTTGTGAATGAGGAAGAGTTGGAAAAGCATCACTACAACATCACATTCAGTTGTTTCGTTTTTAGATATTGTATCCACTGTTTTGGTTTTAGCACTGTTCATCTAATGGACTGTCTTTCTTGCTATTCACTTCTTCTGGATATAACACTATCTTACATGCTGCATGAATAAAGTGAGAAGAAATATGCTACACCTAATATCATTTTCCCTAATAGTAACAATCTTACATGATTTTATATCAGTATTCATAAAATCGTTATTACCCAACCTTACCGCTTAGATCTTATGTTGCCCATGATTTTCCGGCAGTCCAGCTCCATGCTGATGGCCCTTGTAAATTCTGCCTGAGTGTCAGCCAACATTCGAATCTGAAAGATTTGTAAAGTTTTGTTCAGTTAAAATACTAAAAGGTTATACTTCCAATTCATATAAAAAAAAAAAAATATAGATATCATTTTAAATCAACATGATTTCTTCCCATTAAATCCCCTTGGTATCATGTCCTCTTCCACTAGGTCGCAAACTATAGGCCTACATTGGGCAGTCGCCAGGTACTGGACGAGGGTTTGTGTTTTTTCTCTGGGCACTACAGTTTTCCCCCACAACCAAAACCTGGCACGTCCTTGGATGACCAAAGCTGTTAATAAGACGTAAAATACAAGCAAACCAAACCTCTGTAACCTGTATGACTTTGCCACTTGGTAGGTTTGCCTGTCTTTAAGATATGTGTCCCTGGTGGCTGTTTCTGTCACCTTTCCTTTAGCCTTCACATGCCCCCCCC